GCTTTAGCTAGGACTCATTGCCATTTTTGATCCTGAAATCTCAGGATGCATTTCAAAAAATTCAGACTAAAGAATGCGTCCAGTTGGAATGCTTCACATCCCAGTTTCTGGAGATTTGCATTGCATATGTCTGATATTATTCCAATCAGTGTGTAATTTCCCTTGGCATCTTTGAGGGGTTTATGCCTGTGTGTTTTATTCCAGAGAAAATGAAGTTGAGACTGGTGGCTCAAACTATGGGCCTCAGCTTCATGTGTCATGATTTCACCCACTAGAACTAACACTTAATTAGGAGGTACTTTCCAGTTCTTCCATATTAAAGAAGGCTGTTAGATTTGCTAACAGCCTGTTATGGTTGTTAGGCTGACTGATTATTTTCACGCTCTGTAGACAAAGTTGAGTAGTAGATAAGAAAAAAAAAGTTGAAGGTGTAGCCAGAAATGATGCAAAACATCAATCTAAGATGATGGATCATATAATGAAAAATTTGTTCTGGAACTACTGAAAACTATAAAAAAGGAAAACAAAATAAATATATATTAAATTAATAATAGACTTATAGTTACAATAACCAGCACGATTATGGGACCTATCAAACATCGATTGCTGGAGAATGTATTGTGATGGTTATGTTATGTTAATTGCAGCAAGGCTTATTTTGGAAAAAGTTGGCAATCAACCCAATTATCATCAATTGAGGAGTGGAAAAAGTGGTTACGGACTATTAAGTATAGAATAATGTAATAATGAATGATTATTTATTGTAATAATTTCTGAAATAACGACCCCTTATAAATACTACCAGGATAAAACTAGGTGTCAACTTCGAACTGAATCTGTCAGAAGCCATTTTCCTATTCTACAGAGTGGGGAGGGGGGAAGGAGGCTGGGATGCTTTGCTAGATACAACACAGAACTTTCTCATGGGAACCAAGGTCATCTCTACAGGCGATGGATAAAGTCAGGGTGGAGTGTCTGGAGAGCCCGCCAATTGACTTAATTGGCCAATGTGACCTGTGACATTTGGGAGGGATATTTCCTATTTTAATTATACAGAAACCGCAGGAAATGTTTAGAGTTGATTTTATACTTAAGTGTGCCAATATGATGTAAGAAGTTCTTTGAGGAAAATCCTAGCCTTGGAGTCCTGATTCGCTTGGGTTCATTAGTCGGAGTTTTGACATTTGGTTCTAATTATTTTTATGACATATGCATTGCTGTAGCATTAAAATTATTATTAAACAATAATTAATTAGTACTTTAAAATAATTTTAGATATTTGTTAAGAAAATACTACTTACCTAATTTTGGGACTTTGGTATACTGGCTAAGGCAGTATAAAGTAAAAAGTAGGAGACCCCTGTCCCAGTCCTACCTTAGGCACAAATCCAAATTGGTGAGCTGGGCCAGTCATTGTCTCTCAGCCCTAGAAAGGAGGCAGTGGCAAACCTGAAAAACCTTGCCAAGAAAACTGCAGAGACTAATCTAGGGAAATCTCCAGGAGTCAACACTGGCTAAGGCAGAAAAAATAATAATGTTTTTTGGGAGGCTAATTTGCGAATGGTTTTTTTTTTGCTAGAATTTTATGGGTTTGATACTTAGTGACAAGTTCTTAAATTAAACAATTTGATAGACCAGGTTTTTTTTTTTACAGCTAAAAAGGTAGTGTCAAACTTCTGTTGAAAAAATAATAATTCAGTGATAGCAAAAACTACAGTCATAGCTAAGGTAAGTTAGCTATGGTGCTTACAGTTAAAGTAAGTTATTCCTGAGCTCTCCTTTCTTTTTTATTCTAGATTTCTAAATTCGTAATGTTAAGATTCTAGGCTTGATTTTGGTATTGTATTTTTTTTGTTTCCAGCTATGAAGCTTCTTACAGCACTTGTAAATCTAAATCTAAATCTCGAAGTAAGTAAAGATAACCTGGAAAGATTATATGAGGTAGAAAAGAAGAGGATCGTGGGAAAGAAAATCAATTCTAGACTGGACCAGCTTGAGAGAAAAAAGAGAGAGGTGGGGCAATGTTTCAAGGGGAGATAAAATGTAATTCATGAACCTGAGACAATGTTACTAGATTTGCCATTCAGTGCCATTAGCATTTAAGCATCTGATTGGGATTGGCCTTCGACAGCCATCCCTGGTTACAAAAGCTTCCATTTATTGGAGAATTATGCTCTCATATGATGCTATAAGAGCTAAAGAATGGTTAGGAATGCAGGTGTTAAGATCTATATGGCACTGAGCTATTGTATCTGAAATTAATATCTACTGGGAGAATTGTGACTTTCCCCCTTTTCCATACTATGAAGTGGCAAGTATAGTTTGCTAAGAGGAAAAAGAAGTTGAGCTTGCTTTCTGCTATAGACAACTGTCCAGGGAGGAAATACTGAACAACATGGTAGCTATAAGAACTTCTTCAAAGTTTCCTGATTTTTTTTTATATACTGCTTTTCTAACTAAGTCTATTGCATTTTTTCCTGGCCTGGTAACCCCTGGGAGGGGTGTTGGAGTAAATTCCTGTTATCCTTGGCTAGCCTAACTGATGTTGATGGAAATTGTAGTCCATTGTATTCAGATTACTATATGACTGCTCTGTTGGTACCAGCAAATTGAATATATCCCAGCAGGTGGGGATTATGAGAGAATGGAAGGAAGGAGAAAGAAAATTGCCCGAAGAGAGTGTCTGCTTTAAACATAGCTTCCACAATCCATAGATTCTGCCAAATTGTAGCTTTTAAGATGACAGAAAATGAAGATGTGAAAAACTAGTAAAGCATTAATTTAATATAAATTTATATTAATGTACATTTATTGTAAATGTAAACTAAATTAAAAAACATTTCATGGACTAATTTAATGTAATTACAATGAACACAAACTATCCTGATATAACTACATTTTGGGAGTGTAGCCAGTGATGAAATCCTCTGAAGTGAAAGTGTGGCCTGAAAAAAAATCACTGGATTAAAGCTTTTCCTATGTGGGAAAAAACCTCCCTCAAATTTTCTCATTTCAGTATGAACAGAAATCTCTGCAAGTAGAAAATATGATGAATGCGATTTTTAAGGGGACCTTTTTGCCACGTTATCGGTAAGAATGTTTATGTGTTTCCAAGGAGTGTAATTTATTAAGAATAGATTGACTGAGAAGCTTATTTGCATGTAATCATTTGAAGTTGCAATGTAAAATTAACAATATTCAAGCATTAGGATAAATTGTATTAAGAGTTGCAAGACATCCCATGGCACCCGTTTTCAGCTTGCATTCATTCTCCTGATCCTTATGCATTTGAGAGATTAGGTAAAAAGAGCCTTCTCCAGATTTCAGGTATTATATTGAAATACAGTGCCTGAACAAGACTATAGTGTCTGCATATTTGACTGGTTTCATCAAGAATATTCAGAGCACTTCATACAGTTTTATAGTATTTAATAAAGATTATTTATAGCAGATGGTACCAACTATAGAATATGTAAGAATGTATGAACCAACTCATGGAAGCTCACACATTTTTTTCCCATTTGTTTAAAGTGATATTATTCCAGAAATCCGGGCTATTTGCATTGAAGAAATGGGCATCTGGATGATAATTTATCCTGATACATTCCTAAATGATAGTTACTTGAAATATCTTGGATGGATGCTGTATGATAAAGTGAGTTCTTTTATTAACAACTGGAAAAATATCAATCTCCTTTTTCAAAGATTGTTAGTATTTTCATTTATACATGCTTACATGATGATCTTCCATTGAACAACAAAACTAAATCTGAAGAATGGGGTTACAGACAACACATTTTATGTTATTCTGATTTTTCCTTTTTCCACCTTAGAAAAACCAAATAGAAAATAATATAAATTTAAATCAAAACTGTTGCTGAAACAATTGTCTAGTTTTGTTACAAGACTGATAATATGATTGGTTTTAGGTTGGAGCACTGCTGCTAAAAGCAGAAGGGCATTGTAAGGTTAGAACAGTCCATTTCAAATTCAAAGTGTTCCAAATTCACAATATTTTATTTACACTTCCATGGTTTACTCTTGAGACAAATTGCATGTCCAAAAAATCAAGTACAAGGAAGAGTATAGGCCAATACTGCAAATGCCCCCCAAAATTGAGAATTCAAAGCCACGTGTCCCTGCTGTCCCAAATTTAATGACATTTACATAAATCTTGGCTAAGAGAAATTTCCCAAGCCATACATGTTCGTGCATTAAAAAAACTACCCAGAAAAGTACACATATCTCAATTTGTTACAAGCTGCCTCCCAAATTGTAGGCAAAGAATCATAAACAAAGCAGTATGTTGAAATAGTTTCTCTTTGGTGTGACCAGGTTTTGCTATCAAAAGGTTGGCACTTGAGAAATGAGTTTCCTGCCATTGTCTACTGAGTAATACTGATATCTGTATAATTTCACCCATGCCTATGATTCCCACTCCGTTTTACTTTTCCTTGTAGCATCCTGAAGTACGGCTGAAGTGCCTTCAGGCACTACAGGGAATATATAGTCAAAAAGAGGTTGTTTGTAAAATGGATCTATTTACTAGCAGGTTCAAGGTAAGTTAAAATCAGCATTTCCCAATATGAACTTGATGATATCAGGGGATGATTGTTTTTAGAACCAAACTAGACTCACAGGCCCTCAGATTTGGGGGGAAGGAGGGTTAGAAACACAAATCCCTTCATTGTGAGTGTTCAGTATAATTTTTTTTCCCATTGCAGAAAGACATATTTCAGGGCTTGGATGCTTACTAATATATAAGCATATTCTTTGCCACCCATCTTATGACTCTGAGTGGCTTACAATAAAAACTTGTCAGAATATAAAATCATAATAAGAATAACCTTAAAAACAGAATTAAAATTAAGCATGCACTCTTAAAAGTGGAGAGAACACCCTCAGAACACCAACCATTTACACTCTTCTCTCTCTCTCTCTCTCTCTCTCTCTCTCTCTCTCTCTCTCTCTCNAATATGCTGACTCTGTAAACCGCTTAGAGAGGGCTGAAAGCCCTATGAAATGGTATATAAGTCTAACTGCTATTGCTGTTGCTATTGTTTGGAAATGTGGATAAATGTTAATCTATTTATAGACCTGTTCATTTGTTACACAACCAGAGTTTTTTAAGTTAATGTTTCAGATAATCCCATCAACATCTCTGAAATTGCTCTACAGTAGAGAAATTGTGGTGAATAATACTGTGTGTACTTTGGTTTCCAGGTAGTACTTTGCTATTGTAAAGTTGTGTGAATGCCAGCACTCACAATTTCATACATTTAAAGACTGTTCTTTACATACTTCGAGTGTGAATGTCTCCAGGAGAAAGATGTCAGTTCAGTGATGTCAGAGAGGATCATGGGTGAGTACTTAGCCAACCCTGATGCCTAAACACACCATTCTATTCAGCTAGGGGGAAAAAATAAAGCTCTTCTTTTAAAAAGTAGTTTATTTACTTTATTTTACTTTAAATAGGAGAACCAACCATCCAAAGTTATTGTTTTTTCTCAAAGGAGAAAAGAGAAATGACTTCCCTGCCTACATTCAACACTACACTCACACTGTAGCTGGTTGTGAACATTTGCCACACCACTTAGAATAGATCTCTCAATCCTGAATTTGCAGCAGGAAAAAAGATAGAGGGATGGCTATATGTAGGACACAAGCAATGTTGGTTTTCTGACCTATGGCCAGAAGAAGGAAGAAATACAGAATACATGGGTAGGGACAGATTGGATGAAGGTACACATACACACACAGACACACACACAGACACACACACACACACACACACACACGGAGCAACATAAACAGCAAGTCAAATTAGATTTTTTCTTTTTCCCTGTGAGATATATGGATGAGCAGAGAAGTTTGGTGAGAGGGAAACAGGATCGGAAGGCTAGAAATGATTGTCTATAGAGCTATGAGAAATGTTAATAAAAGTCAAGTGAAAGATGTCCTGTCCTTTTCCCACTGAAGACAAATGCATTATAGATCTGGAATAGAAGTAAATCATAAAAGTAATTGATTTCAACCAAAAATGTTAAGCCCTAGTATCCTGGCACTGCTTTCCATTGTGAAGTATGTATCTGTTGCCAAAACCTTATGTACAAGTAGTCTTCGACTTACAACAGTTCATTTAATGACTGTTCAAAGTTACAATGGCACTGAAAAAAGTGACTTATGACCATTTTTCACAGTTACGACCTTTGCAGCATCTCCATAATCATGTGATCAAAATTCAAATGCTTGGCAGCCAATTCATATTTATGACCCTTCCAAGGTCATGTGATCACCTTTTGAAACCTTCTGATGAGCAAAGTCAATGGGGAAGCCAGATTCACTTAAAAACCAGGTTACTAACATTAACTGCAGTGATTCACTTAACAATGAAGGCAAGAAAGGTTGTAAAATGGAGCAAAACTCACTTAACAAATATTTCACTTAATAACAGAAATTTTGGGGTCAATTCTGGTCATACGTCAAGGACTATCTGTACCTGTTATTTAATGTATCAGGTAGCTTGATGAAAGACAGGCCTAAATTGAATGGAAATGTGGAAAAGATCCTCAATTTGGCACTGGTTTATTGTAATAACTCATTATTAATTTTCCTGATGCTAGCGAGCAATTCCATTTGCAATAAGAACAACACTGTAAGCAATCCCAGATACTATTTTAAGTTTCTACATAATGGCACTTGAGCATACTGGGAAATAAATATGAAACTTAAACTTATCTAGCACATTCAAAACGATGGATTGAGAAAAATCATTTTGAAGGTGCGTCAGATTTAGAATTATATTTGGTTGTACTCTTGAGATTTTACCATCTGCATACAGATGTCATTGCTTTTGTCTTTAATAATACAGTAAATTAGAACTTGAATAAGCATCAATTATAATATTCCTACTATCAAGTCAGCTGAATGGAATTTGAGACATTCTAGATGCAAATGACATACCTTATCTTAATTTATTCTGATTGAATGTATATAAGCACTTCTTCAAAATAAATAGATAATTGGACAGTGAGACAGACAGTGTTTGGAATTGCTGCCTCATTTTTCTCCCCAAAAGGAAATCAAGCCCAAATTAAAGATTGTTACTTGCATGTTAGTCTATGTTAAATAAGTTCGTGGGAAATTTGATTGAAATACTAATATAACACTGTTTGTAGTTTTATTATGAAAACAATACTATTTATATAATTGGAGTTTATTTTATTTTACTTTATATATACGTATAGTAAAAGAATAAGTGCTTGTTTGATAGATTTCAAAATGGTTTTACTGCAATGACTTTTGAAGAACTAAACACTACAGATAATGTGAAAATATTTTCCTGTTTATTTTATGTGCATTTGATTTTCACAAAACAGGAAAAGTGCCAGTTGTTTGGTAAAGATTTCTTTCAGATTTTTCATAGAGAGAAAAATCACATTCACAGATATTTAGCAGTAGAGGGAAACCTGATTCCAGCTTTCTGTAGTTAATTTTCATTAAAACAAATGTAATACATTTATTTGCATGTTCTGTGGAATATCTATTCTGGCTCTATATTTGCTATATATACAGTTTTACGCTAGGCAAATATTGATACATTATTTGTTTTAAGAAATTAGCTTTTGAGTATCACTTCTAATGTATTTTTTCTCTTTGGTGGATACATTGATTTAGCTAGCAATCTCTTTAATAAGATTACAGAATAGTATGCTCTACTCTCTTAAATGTTCATACCTCATATGAGTTTTTTAATGTTTTTAAAATTATGTTCAGAGAAAAAGGAATCCAAGATGACGTTGCCCCTGAAACCACTATACCAAATAGAAATTGCTTGAGAAATAGCAACACTGAAGTTTTTGTAAGTGCTATGATTTCTAATTTCATAAAATTAGATGGGGAAAAATGGAATTTGATCTTGAACCTAACTGGGTGCAGTTTATAGCTTAAAACCATATTGGGGAGTGCTGTCAATTTAATATATTTAAGTTCAAGAGTATGTCTAGAGTTGACCTATACTATTATTAATGTGAAATGGTTACATTTTGTAAATGCCCATATAGGTTGTCCTCACTTAAGGACACTAATTGGAAATACAACTTTTCTTCAGTAAGTGAAGCGGTTGTTAATGAAACACCTGACTGTACCACTTAGCAATAGCAGTTCTGGTAACAGCATTGTAACTACAAAAATTCCTGAATTAATGTTTAAATGGGGACTTATAAATGTATTTATTATATCTACATCCCCTCCCAGTGAAATTGAGCACTCCTCCAGCTGATAATGCTGGATCAATGTAGTTGGTACCTCTGTATCTATTCTGTAGATACAGTAAAATGTAAAGAAAAGTTTTATGAATAAGGAGAATAAATAATATTTAATCCTGGACTAATCAGAGTTAATGATTGTGGTGTTTCATGGTATATTAGAAGCCATTGTGGACTTTAACTCTAATCAGAGTTAATGATTTCCTGTGTCATGGAGTGGATTTCATCTTTATCATTTTAGAAAGGGAAAAGAAAAGTCCGAGAACAATGTGAAAACAGAAGAAGAAACTCTTCCAATAGTAGACGATCAAGCCAGCTGCAAAATGGAGAAGTGGTTGAAGCCGTTACATTGTTTGAGGTGGTCAGTATGGGGAAGAGATCTATGCAGGTACATCAACATATTTTTTGGATTAACTGGACATCTATAAATCAAACTGTTTATGAAAACCTGATGCTTTTCTCTTTTATTTCACTGTTGTGATATGTCATTTTTAAGTTTTTTATCTGTTTTTTTTTTTTTTAAATTTGGTTCAGCCTGTGGTAGATGATTGGATTGAAGCCTACAAAAAAGATAGAGATGTGGCTCTTCTGGATCTCATTAACTTCTTCATTCAGTGTTCAGGCTGTCAAGGTAAAAATCCTTTTTCTACATTACAAAGAGAGACATTCAATTCTTGTTTACAGTGCAGGATTATATTTGTTGATGATTGGTCCATGTAGACATAAGGGTGGACAGAAACTTGCAAAAATGGGAAGCATCCATTGTTAGACTCGAAGACCACTATTGTACGCATACATGAACAAATGTTTCCTAATCTCAAGGTTGGGAAGAAAAATTCAATATTTCTATTTTTAAAAAATGAAATTTCTTATTTTTTGTTCACAAAGTTAAAATACAAACTCCAAATAAAAAGGAAAAAAATATAAGAATGAAACAAAACAAAACATGGAAAATGTTTATAAATAAACCCAACACATACACGTACAAAGTTGCCCTTAGTTGAATACTGATAAATATATTTCAGCAATAATAGTTTCCTCCCCTTGTGAAACAGGCCCACAATGTTATGAACTTCTACAACTCGGTTTACCCAGCTAGTTTGACTTGGCATCTATCTTGTGTATTAACAAAATCAGTTAACAGGTAAACTCAACCACAAAGTTACATTATAAAGTCCCCTTAACAATCTATTATTATATTTGCCCACAATGGCTTCTAATATACCATGAAACACCACAATCATTAACTCTGATTAGTCCAGGATTAAATATTATTTATTCTNGGTTATATTTGTGAGCATTGAGACATTGTGAAAATACTTTACCATTAAGAATAGTACTTTCAACGGAGATATGTTTTCTTTGTTCTGAACATGAATATCTGAGGGGTTGCCACAAAGAAGAGGGAGTCAAACTATTCTCCAAAGCACCTGAGGGTAGAACAAGAAGCAATGGGGGAAACTAATCAAGGAGAGAAGCAACTTAGAACTGAGGAGAAATTTCCTGACAGTTAGAACAATCAATCAATGGAACAGCTTGCCTCCAGAAGTTGTGAATGCCCCAACACTGGAAGGCTTTAAGAAGATGTTGGATAGCCATCTGTCTGAAATGGTATAGGGTTTCCTGCCTAGGCAGGGGATTGGACTAGAAGACCTCCAAGGTATCTTCCAACTCTGCTATTGTATTGTATAGTATATGTGATCAAATAATTTGATCAAATAAATGATCAAAATAAAATGAGAGGTCAATGAATAAAAAATCTTCATTCATACCATTAGTCTTCTTTCCCCCAAAACTCCAAATATTTTAGACTTTATTCATATGAAAGGTATTAGAGTGTTAGCTTCCTTAGATGTCATATTATAACATCTATCCCATTGCAATTTGATGGCTCCAAATTATGGTGATTTTATTATGGTTTTAATATGTTATCTCCTATATTGTATTATATTGTGTGTATGTGTTTTTGCTGATGCTTTAGTTAAACTAAATTTGTATGTCAGTGGTTGCATGACCTCTGTAGGTGACATATGCTAGTAATATTTTATTGGTCATTGTTTCCTATATATTGGCCAAATTTATGTAGGGTTGAATGGAATATAATATTCCAAATGTTGTCGTGGATTTATATATGATCTTTATATGGCTTATGTTCTAGATCATGGGCATCAAACTCGCGGGGTCATGTTGCCGTCACATGATGTTTCAAGACTTTTTCTCCTTTGCAGAACTGGGGTGGGCGTGGCCTTCACGTGACGCATTGACCCCTTGAGCTGCCAGTTTGACACCTCTGTTCTAGATTTAATCCTTTCCCTAGTCCTAAATATTTTTTATAACAATAGTTAACTTGAATTTCCTTTTTATTCCACAGAACACACAAACTAATTTAGGTAATTTATCCCTTGACTACTTTATTAACAAAGTGTATCTGGGTTTTCTTATTTTTCCATATCTTTTTTTAACTTGGCAAAAACCTTGCCTTACTTTGTGTCCATTGGACAAGACTTCCATTGTTGTAGGAAATTGGTTTTTTCCCCCTTTTACAGTTTCATTGATTGTGCCTGTTAACCTCACTGGGAGGCTTTCATACCCACTGGTGCCTTTCCTAAAATGTATAGTACCTTCTGGTGGAGCATTTATTACTATGGTTTTAAGTAAAACATATTTTCTTAAAAGACTTAATATCTTAGAATCCTCATTGCAAGGTTGTTTTAATAATGCGATTTCCCTTTTGAAAACCATTGTTAAATGTGATTGGGCAGAACTTGTAGGACCACTTTTTAGGTCACATTTCATTACAGTATTGTTATTGTTTCAGTGGGGTTTACACTTAATTCCTGAGCAGAAGCATTATCCAGAAGAGTGCTTAAAACTGTTACCTATCCTGTTTTTTTAAAAATTCTACAGATTTGTTTACCTAAAATACTCAATATTTACATGCTAATTTTGATTTTATTAATGAATTCCCAAAGAGGCTTCCTTAATAAAATATGGCAACATCAGTATTCCCCAGTATCTTAATATTCTACTTATCCGGGAATACCTGTTACATAGTCCAGATGTTTTCCTTATGGTTGTCTTGAACTCTGACCTTGTATTACAAGTTAGTTTATATCTGCAAAAAGCAGCCACTACACCTTTTGTGCATCAGAAATGACAGTGAGGGAGGATATGGACACTTTGAAATAATAACATTACAAAAAGTCATTTTTCCAACTCCCTTAATTATGCTTGATTCATGTGAGGCCTATACATATTTACCAAGATAATCCTCTAACCTAAAACATTGTCAGCACCTGACTAAATAATGGAAGGTCTTAGTCCAAGGATATCTGCAAGGACAAATAATATGTTGATTATGTCATCATTCAGACATTATGTTCTTGTGTCAGATGTTAGGATACAAATACATACTATTAGCATTTGTGTGATGTTGTCATAATGCACATTGTTTTGATATTTCTGTAATTTGCTGAAGGCAAGATTATAGCAAGTTTGCTACAGTCTGAACATACAGTCCCCTATTCCAGTAGTACCTTTTTGGCACCAGAGACCAGTTTCATGGAAGACCATATTTCCACGGATCTGGGGGGGCGGGTGGGGATGGTTTCAATTGCTCACCTCCAGCTGTGTAGCCCAGTTCCTGTACTGGTAGTCTTGGTCCATGGCCCAGGGCTTAGGAATCCCTGCCCTAGTCATTATGTGGATTGTTCTCACATACATACATCTGAGCAGCTTACTTTCTGATGTTATATGGTAAAGGAAACTTCTTGACAGTAGTGTTTTATGATAACACATCAAATAACATATCAAGTAACTTTACCCGCAAAAGCTTATTTTAAAAGAGGACTATGATTGGGGACTAAACCTGTGACCATAAAATGAAATGATTTTTGTTAAGGGATGTAATAAATAGGGGATCAGCTCAAGTCATAATGTAAGTCAAAAGGTAAAGGACCTTATTAAATGGAGACTGCTTGCTTGTATTTTTTGAATGGAGAATTAAACAGGATGTTGCGTTGGCGGCGGGGGGGGAGGGTGAGAACTCAACCCATCCTTACCTGGGTTAAGACTAGCAGTTAACTATCTAGACCCCTTCCAGTCAGGCTTCAGACCCGGCTACAGCACAGAAACCGCTTTGGTCGCATTGATTGATGATCTCTGGAGNTTTGACAGAGCCAATTAATAGTTTAATAGGTTCCTGTACATTAACTTTTGTCTGTTGAAGGTACACATTTGGTAACTTTTCTCATTCAATCTTGTTGTGATATGATTCATTTAGTAAAAAAATATATTGTTAATTCAAAATCACTTTTTAAATTGTTCTGGAATTTCATCTGGAAATAAAAACTGTTTCTCCAAGGCATTTTTTATAAAACTAATTAAGAAGAGTTACCAGTTTTTGTTGTAAGTGGTTCCAATTATTAGAACCAATATCTCTTCAAACATTTCTACAGCAATATGTTTCACCTAATATAGTTGGAATCAATAGCTTGAGATTTGTGTCTATTTTGAATCAGGACGCTGAATATTCCAAGCCTGTAGGGGGTGCTACAAACCATCCATTGCAAATTCTAAACATCAGCATTCAAGCTAAAAGAAAATAAAAGAACAGTTGTGGGTTGTTTTTTTTAACCTTACACAATTTAAGGTCGTTCCCCCCTCCCCTTCCCCGATACGACTTAGCAATGTGTTATTTTTCTATGTATGATTCTTTTGAAATCCCCAACTATAATATAACTTAATAAAATTGAAGGAGCAGTTAATTCTATTCCGAAGCATTATGTCAAAAGGATACATTTCTGTAGCACAAAGCAATTTGAATAGAAAGTATTCAATCTCTCTCTTGTTGCCTTATATCCATTTAGGATCGAATTGTGTCCATGGCTCTGGACAGGGACCATGAAGTAACGGTTCAAGCCATGAAACTCTTGATGGTTATATCACAGTAAATAACTTTTTCACTTAAATATGATGTGATGTTTAATGAGTGTAAGATGCAGTTTTGTAACTAGTTAAGGCCTCATTAGCATGCCAAACAGGCAGTTTGCCTTAGATCATTGTAAAGTTTTACTGCATAATTGAGATTTGCTCAAAATCTGAACCCTAATGGAATAACACAATGCATTACAATGTTCTCTGCAAATACATTATTAAGTATTATGCCTTGCAGGCAAATTTTTTTAAAAAAAAATGTGCACAAGATTTTGAGCCGAGGTGGCGCAGTGGTTAGGGTGCAGTACTGCAGGCCACTTCAGCTGACTGTTATCTGCAGTTCAGTGGTTCTAATCTCACCGGCTCAAAGTTGACTCAGCCTTCCATCCTTCCGGGGTGGGGGAAATGAGGACCCAGACTGTGGGGGCGATATGCTGACTCTGTAAACGGCTTAGAGAGGGCTGAAAGCCCTATGAAGCGGTATATAAGTCTAACTGCTATTGCTATTTTTGCAATTTTTTTTTTACTACTCTAACTTGCTTTTGTTACTCTTAGATTTCAATCAGATAGGTTGAACAGACAAGTTGCTTTTACCTTTTTTTAGTCTGCAATGATTCTTTACAAGTGTTTTGAAACATCATCTGTATGCTTCTGCTATATTCTGTATTTAGCTGTGTGCATTTGTTACTACACCAAAGGTACCTGAAGCATATATTGCTGCTTTAAACCTCAGAATGAGGCTATCTGAATTTACTACATTGCTATATTGATTTTCCCATAGATCATAATTGAATATGATCAAGTTGAGTTTTAATTTCTCTAAATAATACCCTGTGGTTTCTTAGTTTGATTCCTATTTTGCTTGGTCAAGCATTAACAAAAAGTAGAGCACTTTTAGAAATACAGTAATGAATAATATTGGTTTCTTGCTACTGTTTTTCTTTTTTTCTGCTTTGTGGTTGAGATGT